GTGTCGTTACTAGTGTTATCATTGTCTCATGTTTAGCTGCTTTACTGAGTGCAGAAAATCATCTAACCCAAGTTATGTCTCAGGTTTGCATACAAACATATCTTTCATTGTTGATCTTTCATTGAGCTTTATAAGTTTAGAACCTTACAAACCTACCTCAACTAGCATAATTCTCAGAAGCCAAGCATATAAGAAAACCACATCCTGTTCCTACCCAGTCTGCATACCTGCAGTGCCATCATCGTACCAGCACCCCACATGATTTATTTACTGAACGGTCCTTTATATGTTCGGTACACAAAGGCAAAGTATTGGCTGGTTTACCTTAAAATATAGGCTTTAATTTTAAATCGTAATTTCACAAAAGAGAAAGATAACATAGATACAAGAGTGAAAGAGAGACAGTTAAAGGTCCTCAGCAATTCTGAGTGAAAAGGGGGAGGGTAAAACAGACAGTCTGTCAAAACAAGATGCTCTCATACAAAATTGTTCTCTTCTGCAGCAAATCCCGTGTGAAACATTAACGCTCATTTGTGATGAGGCAGGAACAAACGCCCATAGCACAGTCAGTAAGCAACGCACAAAAAATAATCTTCCTCCCTTTTTCTGTTCATGAGTGCATATTCATTTTGCTTTTGTCTCATCTCATGACAAATGAATACTGTCAGTGTCACTGATGTGCTGTTTACAGTGGCACATAGCATCTTGTAATTATTCTGTGAAAGTGAATTTGTATCCTGAGGGATCTGTATTTGTGTGTGTTGATAATCAAAGCAGATAGAGACAGAGAGGGGACGGTTGGAGAGTGATCTCTAATAAAAAATAAAAAAATGAGGATGTTGTTGGAGAGCCATCTTTCCAGCACAGTTCACAATATGCCAACACAGATTTGGTAGCTTTGTTTAAATGGCAACAAACAGCTGCTTGTTCTTAAACACGCACCAAACATACAGACACAGTTCACATTCTAAAGATATTGGATAGTTACAGGGTAATGCATGAACAATCATTCCAAAAATTGCCTAAATAAATGGTTCTTTATGCAAACTGCAACTGATTAAATGGCTGCTTTATTACTATATGTCAAATAAGGCCAATCAATTAACAAATGGTGATTTTCTCAATACATTAAATATTTGCAGTGTACAAGCAAGCTTCTTAAGACTATTTCTTCATGTTAACTTGTTTGGTTTTTGCTTAATGGCTCTTAGCACAGACAAAACTGCTTTTGAAGGTGTTGCTTTAAATATTTATATAATATGTTCATAACTTTATTGAATATAAATATACAGTATATATTTCTAATGATGCATGATTTGAAAGCCAGAGACTAGACCAAGGTTGTAGTGAAAAAAAAAGAAATAAAGAAAAAGCATGGGCCTTTTCCAGTGAAACAAACTACTGATATTGTGCGGTCATTGCATAAGCTGACCCAGGGGCACGGAAAGCGTTTCATAAACTTTAAACAGGGTCCTAGGTCAGTAATTTTTGTGTTTGCATGTCTTTGTAGTCTGTTTCCCCCAGAGCACTTGAGAGCCCATTGAGAAAAGGCATCAATGCCACAGTGAAATTGAGAACTTTCACGTGACATGGGGCGCCTCAAGGCATCCTCCAAGGATATCTGGATGCGTGGATTATCAGTGACCCTTCATAAGGAAGAAAGGAGATGGATATGAAAGTATTGACTGGCTGGATGCTTGAGACGAGTATAAAAAGCAGCTAAGAAAGCCCACTCTCGTTGCCAAAGACCTCTAAACTCAAACCAAACTGGAAAGGGGAGACCCAATTCTTAACTCTTCTGGAAAAGGCATCAAGCTTGACTTTTATTTTTCTCACTTTTTATTATTGATAATAAAACAACTAATGACAAAAAAGCCAAATTTCTATGCTGTGGTCCTCTACCTTTGCCAGCATCATTTACGTACAATGCTTGGCTGTGGTCTTTGACATCATTTAAAAGACAGTGCTTAATGTAGCTCAAAAATTGCCTTAGGAAGCATCTTCCTTCAAATATGCTTTGCGCAAGAAAAAGATATGAGTTAACGTTTTTTGTTCTTCGTGAAACCCGAAGGCAAGATGACTGTTAAAGTGGTCAGATGACAAATGTCTCATCTGATCTTTAATGCAGCGAAGGGGCCAGCTCCAGGGCTAAAACAGGAAACTCTCACAGAACAGAGCGATTTGGTAAAATTCCAGTGTTAAATCACTGCTTTGGGTGCTGCAGATTCCTCCACACCAATGAAAGCCATCTTAGGTTTCACTCTTAAAGTATCTGTGGTAGAAAGCCTTCCTGCTATTAAAACCGCACTGATATGAAAGAATATAAGCATAGACGAGGCTAATATGTATGCATGCGAGTCTAAGCTTAATCCCAGGAAACGCCTGATAAATTTGCCCCTGCAAGATTTTGCTGGATTGTTTTTTGTAATTCTTTAGACAAAAAAAAGCCTGCTTTTGTAGCCCTTTTATTTCTCAAAGCTGTTTTTAATTGAAATTAGTGGAGCATAAGAATATTGAACAAAAAGTTTCAAGGCTCTGAATGTCAAAAGTTCAAACAAACCATGCTTACTGTATTTCGATAAAGAAGAGCCTCTCCAAGGTACTCCTTAAAGTTCTTCCAAGGCAGTACACCAAATTTTTAAAAAGCTCCTAACAAGGTTGTTCATTTTGGAAACTTTGGATACCACATAATAGCAATAGAATCTATGTCATTTAATAATTATATGATATTATCAATAAGTACCAAAGCTTTAAAAGCTACCAAAGAAAACAGTATTTTTAACCCAAATCAAGGGAAAGAGAGTGAGCACTTTTCATATTTTGGTACCGAAACATTGACAATGTATTTATGCAATTTCAACAGTGCATCAGGTCACCTGCATTTTTTGGTAAAATGTAGTGTTGTGAAGAAGAAAATAGGCCGGCACACTTGCTCAAATCTAGTACTGTGACATCCCTAGCTCCAAATCCGTCAAAAAATCAAGCACAACGTTTAAAGCCCATAGAAAAGTAATAAATATCTGTGACAATGACAAACCTTTTCATAATAACCTTCACACTGTTATACTTTTGGCTGCTAAACTAAGACCATTAAAAAAACTGAAGGCTATATCTCACTGTCCAATGTTTTTTTGAGATCAGCGGTCACAGACAGAGTTAATATAAATGTACTAAACAAGAAAAAGGAATTTTCTTGCTCATTTGACCGTTAAACCACTGCATAATACAATGGACAAAGTCCTCTATGTGTTTATATTTGCATGAGTATTCATTCAAACAGACTACACGCTACCTATCACTGCTGTTTCACCTCTAGTCAACCTTTATTAACCTTATTAAATCCAAACAAAACAAGACAAAACAATTAAGTTTTGTCAAGGCCAGTCAAAAGTGTGCCACCTCTCATCAGCTGAAATTCAAAGCGTGATGTACTGGCAGAAATCCCTCACCACTGAGAGTTATGCATACATTTGGCAGCCATTTGCTGATCATCCGGTTCGTGACACATTCCTTGATAGTCAACTTCACAGAGCCAGCCGGTGTTCAGCTCCATCACCTGATGATGCTGGCAGACTCAAGCCTGTTGTCTTTGACGATGAGTGAATGAGGCAACACAGAAGTGAGTAATAATTGGGTCAACAAGGTATGTCAGTTCTCACTAACTCTCTTCTGAATCATCTCTCTGCAGCGGAGCCAAATGTGATGGTATGACGCCTGAAATATTTGGCTGTGATAAGCAGTGACAGCAACATGGCATGAGATACTGTTTTTCAACCGATGTGCAAGTTCCAAAATGTTAAGGCCCAGGAGACAAAGCTCTGTTTACACACCTGTACGCTTCATCAGCGATGTGTCATTTCTATGTGTTTTTTCTTTTTTTACTTCATAATAGTCTTTCGTCGTTTCTCGATCACATTATTCTTTCAAAGTTCATGTATAAAACCATTTGATATTATTCAAAGCATTCCAATGGATGAGCTACAACAAAGTGGTTCACTCAAGTCCTAAAATAAGTCTTAATGCAATCACTAAGTAAATGTTTTGAGATAAACTTTTTGATTCACAAAAAGTGCAGTGAAGAAAAGCTTATTTTCTAAAAAAATAAAAAAAAAAAGTCTTGATCTATTTTTCTATCAACTAAACCATCTCTTTTTATCAGTTCTGCCTACATATAAACCCTGTTTACCAGGCCTATATTCACACAATTTCTGCAGAACATGTAAATATAAATATAGAAAAAAAAAAAAAAAAGAAGAATCTATTTTTAGATTTTGAAATTGTTCTTGAATCAGTGTTGTTATTCCAATAAGCCCCAATCAAGCCACAAGACAAATGTTATTCCTCTCACTGCAAGAAGAAGGAGGTAATCAGTCTGCAGACGAGAAACACAGAAGAAACTGTGTAAAGAGACAACGCACATTAACCTGCATGAATTCCCCAAACTCAATTTAGATCGATGTTTTCTACTATGTCACAGACGCACCTTTAAGAGAAGACCACACAGATGCACGAATAGGGCCTTACAAGGTCGTATGTATGCAGCATACTGCAACATCACTGTAACGCTGGAGCATGGCATGTGTCAGTGGCTACTTCATTTGACTGACAACAGAACAAGAGACAGCTTCGTGACTTTATCAAGGCTAAAACGCAGCCTGTCGTTGTTAGAAAAGGCACTGTGTGGCGCAATGTTAACGTTAAAATGTCACTGCTCTCGTTCGGTGTAATGCGGTGCAGTCGACTGTAGTTTCAAGGTAGCGTGCTAATATGCTAACTAGCTAACTCGGCTAGCTAGCGAACTTCGTAGAAACTTTATGAAGTGTGTCAACATCGCTTTTCACCAGGATTAGGTCGTATTTAAAGGCTCTATGCGGCTGTCAGCTTCAAATTAAGTGGAGAAATATGTTTTGGATTATTAATAAGTAGTTTTTTAAGCCGGTCAATGCAGCGTTGGAGCAGTTTAATGACTTAAGCTAACTTAACGGTGTTTCACGACTTACCAGGAAGTGGGATTCTGTTGCTATGCTATCTCCTCCTGTTGAGACTTTCTTCTGATGGTTATGGCGGTTGTCTTTGTTTTGACTTTCCCTTTTCTTTCCAAGGTCTCTCCAAAAAAATAAAAAAATAATAAAGTTGACTCAGTGGAGCTCTCGTCCTGCGTGGCACCGTTTCCCGAGAGTTTAAAAAAAACAAGTTTTCACGGAGGAAGAGGGAGAGTCGGTTGCTGTGGTAGAGCCAGTCGAGATTTGTGTGTGTGTGTACGTGTTTTCAGATAGTCTCGTCTCCACTGGCTAGGCCCCTCTCATCACCACACTCCTGACCCGTGTGCCAGTAATGTAAACAACCCAGCATTCCCGGAGCGCAGGGGAGGGGCAAGTGTCAAAGAGTGGAGCGAAGCTGTCAAATACCGCGAGATTCAACAGAGGAACTCAAACTCCAAGGAACACAAGACTCCCTTTTTTTTTTTTTTAACTTTTCCCCATTCATATTCACACGCAGGAAAATTGCAATGCTGTTTAATGAGAGGAATATGGAAGCCCATTTCCGCCAGTTAAAAAAATTAAAATTAAAATAAGTCGAAATGATGAGCTATAAAGTCAAAATGATGAGATAATAAGTCAAAATTATGAGATATAGAGTCGAAATAATGAGATATAAAGTCAAAATTATGAGATATAAAGTCATAATAATGAGATAAAAAGTCAGAATTATGAGATATAAAGTTGAAATTATGAGATATAAAGTCGAAATTATGAGCTAAAAAGTTGAAATTATGACATATAAAGTCGAAATTATGAGATATAAAGTCGAAATTATGAGCTAAAAAGTTGAAATTATGACATATAAAGTCGAAATTATGAGATAAAAAGTCAAAATTATGAGTAAAAGGCTAAATTATGAGATATAAAGTTGAAATTATGAAATATAAAGTCAAAATGATGAGATAAAAAGTCAAAATTATGAGCTATAAAGTCGAAATTATGAGATAAAAAGTTGAAATTATGAGATATAAAGTCATAATAATGAGATATAAAGTCATAATAATGAGATAAGTCAAAATAATTAGATAAAAATTATGAGAAATTATGAGACTTTATTTTCATTTTTATTTTCTTTAACTGGTGGAAATGGGCTTCCATAGAGAAAGGATACGATATTGAGCTTGAGAGTTCATTCCAGACTTACAAGCTGTTTGTAAGGTTATCAACCGTGTCTCAACTTTTGACACAGAATCAAACTTTGCTATTCAGGGCCACAAGGTAAGGTTTTTATGAAGTATCAACCTAAGTTGCTTAGTGTGAAAGTAAATTCTTGACCTTGGTTTTAGTAGTTTGCCCCCAAAGAAGGCCAGGCAGGCCTACACATAGGCCTATTTCATTCATGGGCTTTGAACCCCATCACCAGCACCTTAGATTTAATATTCATGGGTTTTTACAATTGTAGCCTGTTAGGAGGGTTATGTTTTGTTTGTTAAATCTTTACAATAATTGTTAGGTGTAAAGGAACAGTATCAGACTCCTACTTATATGTAGCTCTAGTGAAAGTTCAGACAGGAAGACTATATTTTGCACACTCGTTTTATTGTTTATTCTCATACCATGTCAAATCACTCCTCCACACATGCTCACTCATTACTTCTCGTAATCATCACCTGGTCACATCTATCCAATAGCACTGCTCCGCTCCCTCATTGTTAGCCTATCACATTACTGCTGTCTCTTTTAAAAATGGCTTTCTAGTTCATTCACGCCATCGTTACGAGCGACCCTCCACCTCCCCATCGCCACCAAGCCTTCGCAGTTTCATCACCTCCTTCATCCCATCAGCCTCAGATGCCATCGTCCGGTCAACCCCAGCCTTCGCAGTTTGCCTCAGATGACATCATTAACCATCTCCTCACAAACTCCAGTCTTCACAGTTCAGTCAACTTCTTCATCACATCAACCCAGACGAGATCATCCGCTAACACTTCCACCACCAGTGTCTGGACTCTAAGGGGGATAGATGTTGTTGCCGCTCAGGGCAGACATCGTAAATCACCATGTCTCGCTGTAGAGTTCAAGCGCCAAAGATTCTCTGACAATCATTCTATGTCACATATGTAAAATAAACCTTTCATCTTTCAATCATTTACTTGTCTCTCCTGATTGAAATGTAGTTTATGCCCCCCTAAACTAGATAGTATTTATGCCCTTATTACGCTGAAGCTTAGCTGATAGGCAAATATACTGAGTTATTCACAACCACTGAGGGTGAAGCAGTTTTAGAGCAGCAAAAATTTAACAGATATTTTGTTTTACTTCATTTTTTTAAATGTATGATTCACTGAGGGTGTCTAAGTATGGATGTGATTGTGTATGTGTGCAAAGGGAGAGACAGAGGCAGCCTAGACTAAATGGATTCTCCTGAACACGCATTATAATATGCACACAATTCCACACACAGTCTTGCTCATTGGCATTACACCCAAGCATGCAGACTACCCACACATCCCATGACACACACACACAATCTGTACTAGGGAATATCATGAGAGTTGATTGACAAAAAATGGTATTGCAGATTGACTCGCATGGACAGCAAGAACATCTGGAATTGATCAGCTTACTGTTCTTTGATAAAAGCTTCAGTGCTGATTTCCATCTGACAATTCAAACATCGCTGATACACAGGAATCACATCTGTCTCCTTCCCATCCCCATTGTTAATAATCAACAAGTTAGGTGGGGTTGTGTTTTTTTCTCATTACTTCAATAGCCTTTTTTGTTAACCTCACTGCAAATATGAAAACGGAAGAGATGCCTGGAGTGTAGGATTTTCCCCCCTTTTTCTTCAACAACAGTTGAAGATTAAAAGAAACGTCTCACAGAAATCTGTCAATTCTGTATGTGAATAATGCTGTGTGGAATTTAATGGCATGAGTTATATTGGGTTTCCTCTACACCCACATTTTCTTTCAATAAGATCAATGGCGCTCAGTGACAGATAGGGACGGTCTTTTGTATCTTCAAATTTCAGGTTTCTGAGGGAATAATTAGATGGATGGATGAAAAGTAATGCATCAGTCTGCGAGGGGAGCTGCACCCAGAGATCCTGTAGTTCAACATGTATGCCTCCACGTCTGTTTGGTAGAAAACTGTTTAATAATCGTGCAGAAGATCCATTGTTCTAAAAGTGGCTCTCAGCACTGATCGGCTGCTTTAAACCAATAGCAAACTTTTTGTGTTCTTTTTTCTGATAGTGTTTATTTTAAAGACAGGATTTCCTTTTGATTTGCGGGTATATTTTTCTGAGCAAGAAGAGACTAGAGTCATCTTTTTCACTCTCTTCCACCTTCAAACTTTCTGGTGTCGCTTGCAGGTAACCAGAATGGAAAAGGTTCTCCCTCCAGGGGGAATGTAGAAGGTTAAGCATGAGATTTATTGAGACGCTTTAGACATTTTACTGTAAACGTGACATTTAACTCTGATGTGTTGGAACAAATCTTGCCCATCATTTGGGCCTTTTTGGAACAAAATTAGTCACAAATAATGTGATGACAACTTTTCTTTAGAACTGTACCCTATATGGCTCTTTTTATGTGTTAGGGATAGACAAAGAGGCCATAAAGATGCACTTCACAAAATCTCTGTTGAATCCAGAGAAAAGTCTAATTCACGTCTTTTTCTATATTTAGCGTATTCCAGTGATTTGGATCACAAAGTAGCTTTATTAAGACCTGTGTTATTCTTATAACACATGCACAGTTTTTCCATATTTTTGTTTTCTTCAACATACACATTCCATTGCATTTCAATCTGGGTTTTCATGCTAAATATTCAGAAATGTTGCACCCAGGGGCTGAAAGCACATTTTAAACACTTAAAAAGGAAAAAGATGTTGATGTTTTCACTCATGTCTATTTTATTTCCCCCTGTGTTGTTGATCTGGCTCAGGGGTTAGGTATACGACTGCAGCGTGGTAGAGACAGAAGCTGCAGTCAAAGCTCCTGTGATCGGGCGCACACTTCACAGAGACCAGCAGATGGAGGGGAGAGAGGAGCTGCGTGCATCCTGAAGGTTTAGCAAGAACTGAGAGGTTACACTCCGCCAGTACAAAGATGACCTGTCACACACTGAAACATGCCGTATATCAATGCAGAAGAGCTTCCTGTTTATGTACCTCTCTGAGCACAGCTATCAGAGGAAAACAGAGAAGGATTACTGATGAAAATATGTAGGAAATGATGTTTCTCTCCTCACAAACCAAGGCAAACTTGGAGGCAGCATGCATGTGATGCCTGCTTTTCCATTTTCAACGCTAATTAATGTTGTTTTGTCTTCAAAGTGCAATTGCAACCGGTAGTTATCAGCCTTGATCGCAGCATTTTCAAGGTTGTCTAGATGTGAGCCGTCACACAACAAATACCTGTAAATATAGAATAGAGACACAACAGAGAAATAAAGGGATTATGGCGTGTGGAAAACTCTGCGCAAATGAGGCACAGGAGAGATAGTCTTGAGATAAAGTGAAGGACAAAACTGACAAAACAGCATATTATTTCTGCCTAGATCCCTCGGTAAAATCTGCTTTTCTGTTTTTGTGCGTCTGTGCTGTGTTGTAGAATGTGTTCCTGCATGTGTTTGTGTTTCCTCTCTTGGCAAACACCCAGCACAGAGGATCTCTCCACCTGCTCTGTGTCAACCAGCAGGGCAGGCCTCGGTCTCACACACACATACAGACAAGTACACACATGAACACACACATTACAGTTTAACGGTGTCTCATTCACATCATCACCCCTCTGACATCTGTCTGAGTGTGTGTCTGTGTCTGTGTGTGTCCCAGTGCCGGCGTGTGTTTGTGTTAGCAGGCAGGTTTGGTGTGTGAGGTGAGGTTAAATGGGCGCCTAGCAATGAGAGGAGGGAACTGAGGCGGAACTGGCAGAATATCACACACACACACACACATAACACACACACAAGCAGTGACCATAGAAACAACACCATTAGAGCAACCTATAAACTGCAGGTGTGGCCTATGCTTCAGTGATCATCCCTTACTTTGTTTGACCCTGTCGCCTGTCACCCTGTGGATATAATGTGTGGTAATGCCTGTGTGACCGTTTGAGTGTTTGTGCCTACAGAAACACACTATCCTGAAGTGCCTATTCAGCAGTTTGTCATCAAACATCTGTGGATTATAGTTATCTGTTTACTAAAATGGTCCATGTACACGTTGCTGTTTTAACCTGGATTCAGACTAACTCACACCTCAATAGCCTTGATACTCAAAATGTTGGACACTGTAGGATGTGGTTGTCATTAAGCAACATGATCAACTGATGCTGGACATTTCCCAATTATTTTTATTTATGTATTTATCATTAGATTTTTTTCATCACAGGTACAGTGAAGTGTGTATCATGGTATTGTTTGTTTGACATTTATAGGCAGTTTTGGTTTCAGGCCTTTGCTGCAAAAGTATAAACCAGAGCCCTATTAACTGGCCGGTTTGACAACACATTTATTAAAAAGCAATAGGTGGTTGTGCATTTCAGTTACCTTTTAATCAATAAAAGTAATTTAAAACAAATGCTGAATACAGCTGTGTGATGATATAATTAAAGTCTGCCAGTGTCTTAAACATACAGGACTGTCAGCTGTGTTTTGGTGAGGTCATGATACTGTTATGCCATTCCAGGAGGAGGAAAAAGGAGTGGCAGAGAAGAATTGCTAGAGGCCTGCCTTTCTTACCTGTTGAGATCTCTGCACATAAAGCCAAAAATGACTTCATCGTTGACTTTCATCCAAAATATGTGTCACAGGTTGAGATCAGTTCATCCCACTATGACACAGATTCATTGTATGATCTTACCACAAGATAATAGGCCACAGGCACATCAAATGTTTGAACTCTGTTTTGTTTTTTTCCAAATGCCTGGATCGGGGTTAAGCAATCCTATTTGGAAAGACGTTGTCTGATCAGGCATTGCTTACACAAACACACGTACATTATACCGATAAGGTGCATTCCAGCCCAGCAGCAAACCCCTGAAATTCTTGTCAACACGGGGCCATGATGATGTCCAGAAAGTTTTCATCGTGCAGCACCAGAACTGAGCATGGCCGGCTGTATTTGTCTGCTTGTGTTTCTGCTCTGGTCCTGCTCCCTGTAGATCTGTGGTGTCAGCACCGCCCACTGTCGTCCTCCCATCAGACCCAGCCAAACACGGCCCTACTGTGGTTTCCTTTTGGACTGACTGAAGTGTTTGCTGTTTCCCACATTGTTGGAATTCAACACCAGCCTGTTTACTGGTCCCCATGTGGCTTCAGCCCCCCCCCCCTATTTTTTTCATCTCCAGAGCACACCTTTTTTATTTTTTTACATGGCATACATACCCAGTGTTCGTACTTATGAGACAGTGTTCTGCCAAACACTAACTGCAACTAACAGAAACAGTAATTTTTTTTTTTGATGTTACAGTTCTTAAATGACATTTTCCATTATTGACTACATATGTGTTGTTGAATTCTCAAACAGTTTAACAGAAAGCTGCCTGATATTATTTTTTGTGCAAATGTGTGACCACACTTTAGTAAATCTTTTTGTGTTGGACAAATTAAGAGAAGTGTTGTATACTATTAATAGTTCTATTCTATAGGAGCAGTTTCCACTGAGGTACTATATGGGCATCAGGGACATTGTTTCATATACTTTATTTTGCAGCTGACAGTGAATCATACAATGAATCAAAGGAAATCATATACATCTCAAGGAAAAATGTTAACAAGATGATGAGGCGCATGCAAAATGAGAATCTCTTCTTTATCTGCTTTGTTTTTTTTTCCACTTCCTTCCCTCGGTACAGCCAGATGGCAAAGCTCCAGCTCTGCAGTCCTCTTCATACACTCATCACATTTGATGGGCGTCCTGCTGCCGAGTTTCAAGGAGGCCATGTGTTTACGAAATGACACTTGTGACAAAAGAAAACTTCTATTTAGCAAGCTGATTCTGGGGTGGGGTGCACGGGGGCAGCAGCAAGTGTGTGCATTTGTGTCTGTGTGTTTGAAGAAAGATTGAGGGACTGTACTGTAAATATTGTGCTTACATAGGAGCAAGGCAGTGGGAGAAATGCTGTGAATGTAGTGTGTGTGTGTGTGGGTGTGTGTCCGTATCAGTAATTCCATACAGTCTCTGTTTCACACTGTTGGATGCCTGCTGTCTTTTAATCACATCCTTTTCCTTTTTTAAATTATGTTACAATACAATTATTATCATTTTGTGCATTTACTATTCCAATACAGCGAGATTATTTTTCCACATGGATGTCATATATATTATACATTGTGGACTATGCTCTGCTGATGGATTCAAACATTCAGGACAAACTTTTGTTTAAAAAAAAAAAAAAAAATCATCTGTTGTACATTTTGCTACTGAAACAGGTTTTTCATCTGTTGTTTTATTAGTTCTCAATATGCTATCATCTTATCCTAATATTGTCTTTGTCTTCAATGGTGAGGAATTCCCATCAAAGTTTTCCCCTTCTCTTAATACTTTAGGGAATTTTCAAACGTCGGGATGTATGGCTGTAATGCCCCAAGATTTGTTCTCCCTGAAAGAAACGATAGAGTAAGAATATATTAACTACAGAGCAACCTGGCTTTACTGGGTCTGCAATTACTCTTAATTCATTTTAGGCTTACCAATATGCGATGCATAAATATATAAACTATAAATGTATATAGATATATATCAATATATGCTTTGAAGCATTCCTTTGAGTTAAATTTTAAAGCCATGTTCATGCATTAAAAAGCAAATTCATATTTTTGACTGCAGGGTTTAGATGCAAATCCATGGGGCATTACATTAAAAACCATAAACATCATCAAATAGGGAATAGAAATTAAAAATGGAGGCAAAAATGAGGACGTTTAACTGGTCATTAATAACTGAAAGCTTTTATCATTTGTTGATGTGATAAACAAAAATTGTATTTAAGATCGAACAGAAAAAATGGCAAGTGCAATGAAAAATAAAACCCATTTAAAGCAAAGTATTTTTATTCACACAAATTTAATAAGATATATAACAACCGTTTGGTCCATAAATATTTAAGGGGAAATAGTTTCTATACACCATCTTTATCAAGAAACAGGGAAACATGGACAATCTTGATAGAACACTTACTGTACTCAACTATTAACACGAAGATCAATATATAAGGTTCTTGGATTACCCAACTATATCTGAAAGAGTGCACAAATGCTTTCTATGACATCGCTGCCCCCTTTTTAACAGGATACACCATAAAAAGATCTTCGGAAATAAGATGCAAAACAGTACAAAACTAGTGAGGCGTCAAAAGGATGTGAATCAGTTAACAAAGAACACATAGATCCTGAATTTCACAAACTTTCTCCCAAGTTATAGCATAAGGCACATAGTAGAACTGAGTTAGGCATCTACTTCAATAAGTAGATTTAGAGAACCACTTTGTTCTACAATAGAACAAATAGTGACGCTCATAATGAAATGTATCAACTCCATTGAAGATGTCTTTCTTTTCTCTCTATCATTCAGCCAGAAGAAACATGTTTTTGGTCTGTTCAGTGGCAAGTGTCATTAAAGAAAGTATAAATATGGCCAAAACGGAGAACACATGGACAATGATTTTCCCACTGGCTGCCTCTCATCGTACAACTCCGCCTTTCTGAGGTCATTTGAATGTTCATGTCAGCTCTACAAATCTAATCTGCAATGTCGCAAACCATTTCATTTCTAAACCCTCCTCCTTTCCCTTTTAAAATCACATTGTTACCCTGAGCAACATGATATAAACAATAATGCACTTTTCACTGGGCAGTATATTGTCACTGTGCAATTGGGTTTAGCTGTGGGTTTATGGATATGTTTGCTAAGGTTTATCCATTTGACTACGGTTAATCTATGAGGCCAACAAATCTGAGAAAGTGCTCTGTCATGAAAACTGTTTTCCAATCCAAATTTCTCTTCTGATCATTTCTATCAATGTGACTGCATTACATGTTGAGCAGTTACCACTGTAAAGAATGTGTGATTTGCTTGTTTTTTTTCATCTGAATCACAGTAGATAAATTAACCAAGACAAAATGTATGGAGTTAGCATCAACCTGCCATATAAGCTACGATGGTTAGATGTTAGAATTGAAGTTTAGACGCGTTCCATGTAGCTCTGTGAGATATTATAATGCCTGATTCCATCCAACTCGGTCTTAACGACCAAAACATTCGGAAGTTATTAAGCCTGTTTTCTGGAGTTACCCAAATACAGAACATTCTGTAAAATTATTGACCAAATTATTTCCAAACAGAGACCAAACAAAATCTTCAAATTTGATAGTGCGAACACAGTGCATACACATACAAGTTTTTGAGGGCGAAATATTCAAGTTATTTTTTAAATTACCAATTACCCATAAATTAAGGAGGACTTGTTTTATCATAATTCCATACAAATGTACAAATAAAGTCAAATCAAATATTAAATCTAGCTTTTCAGACAAGCGGCAAGTTAAGTTGTTTTTTTTCAGATGAATTGTTTGTGGAATCCATGACATTTTTTAAATCCGTTCGACTTCAAAATGTCCCATTCAGAATCAATCTCTGCAAACTGTAACTCATCTACAGACACGGCTGCCATGTGGTTTCAGATGCTACACATTAAAATGATTTCCATGTGTTTTAATGTGGTCGCTGCTGTTCTTGCTCTTGTTGTTCTTGTTTGTGTACACAGTACAGCACTTTCTGTTCCAAGGAGCTGTCTCTGGTAGATTTAAAGGTGTCACTTAAAAAAATAAAATGTAGATTGGCAAAAGAAAAAGAAAAAAAAGAAAACAAATAAATCAGATAAAAAAATCAGTCTTCTAGATTGTTAGAAAAGGTTTGTCAAGGTAGTTTGTGAAGGGCTCCCCGAATCATGGCTGTCCAAACTAGAGGTGACGGAGGTCACTACAGTGATAGAGGGGTTTGTCAGGTCTGTTAGTGTGGCCGCGCTGGAGGGGGGGCTCAGGGCCCCACTGTCAGATGAGGGTGGAGGGAGTGAGGTGCCATCAGCCTTATCAACACCTCCATTCTCCTGTCGCAAAACGTTCCTTCTGAATTTGGCTCTTGCGTTTTGGAACCAAACCTGCAAACCAATCCCAATGTGGCTTTTACTTTTTGCGTTTACGATTATTTTTTAAAAGATATCAAAACATCAAGTTATCACAGCTTTTGGGGTATCAAGTTGTCCTTGTCTTATGTATATAAATGTTTTAATTGCAATTTCCAATACATGTTTTGAGCTTATGGGGCAGATCATAATGAAGCAGTTAGCTCCTGAACACTGAATATAATCATTTGGAATTTTAGTAGCAAATTAAACAATGAATTTTTAAACTGTTTATTTTGAGAGAGAGCTGTATTACACCCTCTTTCATTTCACAAATAAAAAGAACAAGTGCACTCTTATAAGTAGTCATATCACCTATGTTTTAACACTTAAGGTAAGTACATCTTCTCTCCTTTCTTCTTTTAATAAAATGACATTTCAGAATCTACTAAATTTCAGGTAAAACCCCGTGGATATACATCTAAAGACTAAATGGACCAAACAAAACCAAAAAAAGATGAATTGGATGGTAATACTGGTGTGAAATGAGAGGGAGGGGTGCAGACACAGGTATAGGGGTGATCAGATCAAAAGAAGACATGGCTCTCTGCTTACCTGTAGAACTCTCTTAGTCAGGCCTGTTTTCTGGGCCAGCTGCTTTAAGTCCTTGGCATCTGGGTTGTGGTTGATGGCAAAGTAGGATTTCATTGTCCGCAGCTGATGGTGCTTGAAGGAGGTCCGCATGCGTTTGGTCTTCTGTGATGGAGGGTAGGCCTGCTGGTCCCGGTCCAAGTGATCCGTGTCATTCTCGTTACAGCCTGAGAGGGCAGAGAGCAGAACGGGGTCAGAGTCCGAGAGGAACGACTGCAAAACGTTTCTAACTCTGCGAGAGATTTATTTTTTCTTCAAATTAAACCTTTTGAGTCCAGATTAAATTTGACTATTTCACAAAAAGAAGTGATGGTCAAACAAATTGTAATGAAGCATATCCCTCAACTACTCCATAGATGACATTATTCAAAGGACCAATCTGCTTTAATCTAATACATTCAAAATGGTTTAAAAGCTCAACTTAAAACTCAAATAGCCTTTGATCAAACGTAATATCCTTCAACAGGATCAGACTTTAAATGGAAAAAAGGCTGAATTCAGTGGCCGTCGCAAATTAACTTGATTATAGGAAGCGTATATATTTCCATTGACCCGCTTGTAAACCGATTTCTTATGCCAGAGTTGTAATGAACAAAAGTCAAGAAACATATTGAAATAACTAAACTAAAAAGTGAGATTTAATTTTTTTAATTAAAATTATGTTTTTAAAGCAGCACTGGGAGCGAGCTAAATGATTTCTGCTTGTGTTTGCAAAGACTAATCGTCCTAATGGGCTTCATTTTTCAGCGAACAACCGCTAATGCAAAAACACTGCGAGATGGTGAAATGGTAAAAATGGATTCAGTAAATTTAAAGCATGGTTGGCTAAACATCTGGTTAAACGGTTCAGATTAAACCTTTCATCACATTTCTTAAATAAATTAAATATATATATTTTTTAAAGTTAAGTGCACAGTTAAATTGTAGAATAAATTCAATTTTAGCTAAATTGCTGTGACAGAGAATTCTTTCGGGAAATTATTATTAATTAGCCTGTGACAGACTGTCGAATGTTTGTAAAGCTGCAACTCATGTGTACAACTTTTAGAATGAATAACTGTGTACTGATTTAGCTTTTTTTGGTAGCATGTACTTTTATGGTGGAACGGGTCAGAGAGAATGTTATTTCATATTAAAGCAAATAGAACGGAAATCTAGCCAGCAAATGATTTGCATAATAGTTCTTGAATATAAAGTCAATTGTGCTGATTTTATCGTCTCTTTGAAACCCAACGCTGTTTAGTTTTTATTCTCTGTGGCTGACAAAATATCAAATTAATTTAACCAACATTTCATCGCCAGGATATGGCTCAAACACTTTTAAGAAAATGAATGACTTGTTTAAATAACAAACTATTGTGACCAAAGTTGACAGAGATTTAATAAACTTGGATGTATATATTTTTCTGTTTTATGTTGTGGTATGTGCTATGGCTTGAATTAGTTTTTTTTTTCTTACATGACATCTCTTCTTGTTACATTCATACACACCATAAATAATCAATCACTGACATGTATGTTTTTCTGTTCCAGCCCTTCCCTGGATTGTGTTTCACTTGATATTACCCACTAGGGGTCTCTGTATCCAAACAAGACCAAACTTTACAGAGTGGTGTGCAATACTCAGCGGACCCACACCTTTTCCCCTGTGAGAACAAACATGAATGTGCTCGCTAAAGCAGAAACAAAACCTCAAACAAAACCTCAGTCTATTTGTCAGGAATATGAGTCTCCTGATGTGCAGAATGAAACATTAACCTGAACAGTCTGAGAGTATTGTGAGAAGGGTAGAATAGGGATGTTTGCCATATTCAAGCCCTGAAACAAGGAAAAGAGAATATACCAGACAACTCTTCCATTTATTCCATAATACCAGAAAGCTGATTTATATTTTCTGCAATGTATAATTTAAACTTTAAAGGCTGATTTGAATTTTTTTAGGCTAAGAATTCAATTAAAAGACAACATTTAACTTAAAAGGTTAATAAAAAGCCCATTACTAAACCCTAAATAAGCCTCTCTTTGAATTTAAAAAAATAAAATGTCATTCTAATTAACAATCCCAAATGAAAAATGTAACATTTCCACCAGAACCTTTGCTGTGTCTGTTGTGTTAAGCAATTACATGGAACTGACATCTTGCAGTATTTTATGTCTTTTTCTATGGATTTTTCTATTAATTATTTTTCCTTTTTTATAATTTATTATGGTAGACTATATAGGTATTCTTTGCTTTAAAAAAAAACATAGTGCTACAATATTTATTTTTCTATGAGGGCATCAATGAGAACTTTACATTTGCATAATCTCTTTGAATAGTGACTCTATGAATAACAAACTAGAGGTCTTTGAGATTGACTGTACAGTGTTTGTGTCCCCTGCAGTAGGCCCCAGTGCACGGCTCTGTGTTTCCCTGAGAACTGTGCTGACCGGCGCACGGGAGGCCAGAGATTCCAACGTCACTTTCAATTAACGAAGAACAATTAATGCGCAGATTACCCTTATTCCTCTCTATTCACCGGGAACAGAGGAAACTAGGCGCACAATGACAAACTTTCTCAACCGCACACTAATTCACAGAAAGCGACAACAAAATAGGGACGCTGCGGGGGTGGTGGTGGTGGTGGTGGTGGAGGAGGGGGGGGGGGGAAGTTACACCATTTAGCGTTTCAATGCATGATTGTAGATGAAACCTACTTTTAACAGAGACTTATTTTTGTGATAACGCCGCTTTTTCTTTCTTCAGTTAAACTTACTTATTTTGACCATTCTATTCATCCCAAACTATAAATTCTCATTTGCATTTATTTTGACCTGAATTAGTCTTAATTATAAAAGTCGAGGGCACGTTGTCAGCAAGGTCAAATTTCGATCAACGCACGCCACAGTTTAAAGCACGAAATCAGTGCGTTCAAGGCGCGTGGACAGTTGCTGCAGATCAATTAGCCAATCGCTGCGGGCGCAGACACACACTCGCAACGCTCACCTATATTTGCATTGCCAATATGACAGATGGATTGATTCATATCAGACATGTAAGGTGGATCCACGGCTGTTACAGCTGGGGCACTGAGGGGCCGGCTGCATTAAACAGCGAGCTTCTCTTGCGTAATGGAAAACATACACTGGTTTTTTTTTTTTAAACCTTTTTTTTTTTTTTTTTTTACATGATTCATTTGAGCTTTGCTTTTGAGCTATGTTATATAAATTAAAATACTTTTTTTTTTATAGCCTAATGCATTTTCATAAGATAATTAAATTAACGACCAGAAAAGTGTAATAACTGTTAGTGAAGGATATCGACCATAAAGCAGCAACTTTAAAACCTTCAACCAACTGAATTATTTCAGAGAGATTTAACAGGATTTGACCTTTATAAGGAAAGGTGTAGTATTTCATTTCAGGTGAATTTAGCATTATAGCCCAAGTGCTAGAAAAAAACCTATGTGGCCCTTCAATACACAATATTGGGGCCAACAATTAAATGCTAAAGTAACTTTTGCAGCCGGGCTAACAAAAAGAAAAACCTTAGTAGACCATTATAATTGTTGTGTAATATGTAACGTTTCTCTACGTTCCTCATGAGCTCCTGCTATGAATAGCATGCTGTCCCACCTGTGTAGCTCGGTATATCTATCCCCATGGCCGGGCTCTTCCTCTTCCGCGGCCTTCCTTTCTGTGCCGTCCCGGTACCGTTGAAGTAGGGGAGGGTGAGGCCGCCGCCCTTTGCTGCCAGCTCGGCGAAGTTAAGCTGGGGGTGGTAGTCCGGTCCCTGCACCAGGGTCTCGAAGTGGAGCCGGCAGTACACCAGGCTGTCCTTCATCCCGAAGTGGTCGCCCGTAGTCAGCGTCTTGTTGCAGGTGGTGCACGTGAAGCAGCTCAAATGGTACACAGAATCTCGCGCGCGCATCACCATCTCCGAGGCCGATATCCCGAGGTGGCAGCGCGCGCACCTCTGCACGGAGAACCTTCTGGAACAGACAAATTGTCAAGACTCCTCATACATAGAGACCAGATGACACAAACCGAAACAAGTAAGGGCAAGGTAGGTTTACCTACAAATGCACTACCATGCAACATGCTTCGATTGGCTTGCTATAGGTTTTGTCTCTACTACCTTTGTCGTGCATTTCAGTGAAAGGGTCTTAATAAAGGCCTATCTGACACAGCTTTATGAGCCTACTAAAAAAGTTAGATGATCCAGGACCATCGCAAGGTTATTTAGCCACACCTGGCCTATGAAAAAAAAAAAAACGTCTGCTAAGTGAATTGTATGAAAAGAAGTGATGACTATGCCAGATTTTATTTAATCTAAAAATATTTTCCCTGCAGGAATATACCCCCCCCCATTAAATAGGTTAAATTCGCTTCTACACTATTAACTATTAGAATTATTAAGCAAACCTTTTGTCCCACCTTAAAAATGGTGGGACAGCTAACACATTAGCCACTAACAGCATCACTTATTTCAAAGGTTATTTCACTAGTGTAGTGCATGGTTTGATATAGGCCTTTTTCATGTATGTCTTTTTTTTTTCTTTCTATTATGCACATAATAGGACCATACAGCAGATTTCCATAGCGGAGCATTATGGGACAGACTAAAGGCTGCCTGTGATTAAAAGCCATTAGACTGATTAACATTTTTAAACGGCACAAATGTACAATGGTGTAGGCCTACTCCTTTGTTTCTGAGGCTGATTCACACTTTCACTTAGCCTGTTGTAGTTTATCTTACATTTAGAGGCCTAAACACTACTGTATCTAAATCACAAAGAAATACAGTGACAATTTTATATCATCAGTTCTTTTTAATTAAAACCATGCAGGGGGCCTTGAGTGACAGGTATGATTTTATACAGACTAGAAAAGACTTAATTGGATTATAAGGCTTCGACATAATTCCGGTTGAACAGCCACAGCCTGTTAAACTCGAACTGGCAGTGGCTGTACAAACATTTGGTCAAAAGTTGAAGTACATTTAATGTTGAATTAATTAAATTGCATTTTCATATACACCTTGGAGATTAAAAGACTAATGTGTAGGCTACGTGTAGGGGTGTAGGCGCGTGTGCCTAACAGAGCGCGTAAAGGTGAGTGATGAACTGTCATTTTTCTTACCTGTAGTAATCCTCCTTGCAATAGATACTTCCATCCTTGGCAAAACACGTTAGCTCCGACTCCAGCGCGAGTTTACATTCACAGCATTTAAGACACCGCAGGTGCCACTGTTTGTCCACGGCCAGGAGGTAGTATCTGTCCGAAATCTTTCCACCACAGCCGGCACACAGAGCAGGCTTCTCCGGGCTCATGGAAGGCATGGTCTAAAGCAGGGAGAGAGAGGAGAGCTCAAAGCCAACTTCCTTACACAGACTGTTCGGGAAATGTTAAGTAAATGTTGATATGTAGGCCTTTAGTGGCATTCTAAAACAAAATTGTTTCTTATCTGTAAAGAAGAGGCCTTAAATTGACGCTTTAAACATGTTCTTAGACTAATGCAGGCTCGGTGTGTTCACAGGCCCCCTGAAGGAAGTAATAACCACCATCTACTGTATGACACAGCTGAGACGCTGCAACTAACTCACCGTCAAGAAAAGTAAAGAAATGTGTTCTGCCAAGCTACATTTGTAAAGTCAATTTTCTGGGAAGACAAGCAAACATAAAATAGGCCAATTTGAAATTACATTCTTAGTAGGAAATGTAAAAGTTATGTTTTAGATAGCCAAAAGGAACAAAACAAAGAAGGCATAATAAAGAATAAGTCAGCGTGATTTATCGTTGTCTACGGTGATTTGTAGATTTGTAACTTCCAAAACTAAATTTAATAAACTTTCAAGATAAAACTAAATTTAAGAATGCACTGTCAAATGTTTTATTTATTATCTCGATGAAATAATTGTGATTCTATTTTATTTTTTTGTGAACTGCAAATACATTTCTGTTTATCATTTTTTGCAGCTATTTCAGCTACTTTTGAAATAATTCAACGTTGACAAAATACTAATACAAACTTGAATGGCTTACAGAAAAAATTTGGATTTGGTTAATGATTTTAGACTAAACTATTTTTTTTTACATAATTTAACACGAGAAGTAACTCCTCATCAGTTTCCTACTTCTACAAAGGTAACAGTGGCACAGTTGTCGTTTTTTTGACGTAGGAAGGATTATAAATGTGTATTCAAACACAGGTCGGCTCTTACCGACTCTCTCCCGTTCAACTGCATGCCCTTCGCCAGGCGCGACTCCGTCTTTGACCTTCTCTCCATCTCCTCCATGATCCCTTGGATGTGATCCCCGGAGATGCCGTGGAAAAGCATGGCTCCTGGACGCAACGTACAACTGCCTGCCTCTGTCTTGCAGCCCACAACTTCCATAAACTGTACTGCAGCGCTGCGCCCCGCTCTCTCAGCGCATCCAAACGGGCTCTTAAGGAGGCAACACAACACCAACTCGACCCCAGAGACTCAGATCAGCTCCTCCACACTGTGCAAAGGCAACTGGAAGAAAAGAAAAACGAAGAAAAGCTACAACATGGGTGGAACAGGAGGAGTGGTGCTAGTGGAAATGCACTAGCTTTTCCTTCTGCTCGTGAATGCCTCTCCTCCAGGAAAAATATATAGTCCAAATGATGCGACAAACCGGTGTGGAAGAAGTAGTGGTGTTGGGGAGGGAGGAGGGGAGGGGGCTACAGTGTAAACACTCGCCAAAAATAATGACACAAAGTTTTTGTTGTTGTTTTTTTAAGTAATTTCTCTCTCCCGGTTTTCCCAGTCAGGGTTCCTTGTTGCTCGGAGGTCAGGTTGGGACTGCCTGGATTTGAGAACCGTGTCCTATTTGTGAAGAGCCCGCAAAGCCTGCCCAGTCTGAATAATTTGGTAGGAGGAGTTCCCCTCTCCCTCTCTCTCCCTCCCTCTCCCTCACTCTCTCTCTCTCTCTCGCCACTGATTTCTATTCACCAACAAAGAGCTGTCACTCTCCCCTCAAAAACTTCAGATTCGTGCTGCGCGAAGGACCAATATTTTATGGTATTGACATTTTCATTACTTTTATTTCCCCATTTATATAGGAGGAGTTTTGACAAATACAGTGAAACAGGATCAAAATTAGTTTGGGGTTAAATATTTTTACAAATAAATATTTTTAAATATTTAACTTGTCTTGTAAAAAACACTGAGTAGCCTATCAGAAGTGCAAGAGTTTTTTTTTTTTATTAAAGGTCAGAAATAGATATAACTGTTTCTACAATAGAGAGCTATGTGAGAATAATTCATTTGGTTTAATTTGGAAATTGAGATTTTATCATTTTAAAGCTTCACAATTTAAGAGTTTTAACTAATTTTTTTTTTTTAGTGTTTGATTGTCCTTAAATAAGATGCACTCTGTGTGTGTGTGTGTGTGTGTGTGTGTGTGTGGTGTGTGTGTGTGTGTGTGTGCGCGCCTGTGAATTTGTGTTTGCATTTGTGTACGTGTGTGTGCGTGTGTGATATAAATGTATTGTTTGGGGCGGGGCAGTGATCAGTGATAGGCTAGAGGGCGGGGACAGATTACATTAAACATTTTGACAAGACAAGATTTTTTTACACAGATAAGTGCGATTTTGTTTTAAAAAAGCGATTTTTCCTTAGGCTAACTGTAAACGATACAGGCCTACAAGATTCGATATTATCAAGTATGTTTGATTTACTGTTTAAATTACTTAAAAACTATTTTGCTTAATTGTTTGTCGCCCCAAATTAGCCTTATTTTGAGCAGGTGATGAAGCAAATTTATATTATTAGATCAGAAGAGATTAAATAGCCTTTTTGGTGCAGTCATTTTTTTCTCCATTAAATGCTTGTTAAACTGCAGTTATTCACTGGTGACCATTTATTACCAGCCTCCCTGCATTTTTTCTTCCAGTCATGAATAAGAAGTTGTTTACATGTAGGAGAATTGATCCGGTGTTCATAGATCAGGGACCCTGGCTTCCAACATATTTCGTCAATTTTAGGCTATGCAAAAAGCATGCATAAGGCATTTAATTGTCAAACCAAAACGAGTTGTTGTGTTCTTCCAAATTCGCGTTTTAAAAAAAATCCAGTATAGCTGACTTCCTATTATTTAGGCTGTGATGGAGGCGACGGTGGGGCTACACTTGAATTGTGTCAGATTTAAAGGGTGTGAAAAGTCGTATAAAGTCGTGCAGACTTAATGCCTTTAGTGTCCCATTCACAGGCCAAAATATGATGACATAGCTCGAGGTTTTTTTTTTCATTTTGACACACAACACAGGGTTTTACTTTTTTGCAAAATCCAGATAACGAGCTCGATGGCTGAACAATTCTCCAGAAAACAAAAGAATTACACTGGTTGGAGCTGTGACGTAGTTTTGCGCCCATTAATAGATTTACTGAGGCTCAGGGGGGGGGGGGGTGTGTGCAGGTGTGGATGCTTCATCTCAGGACGTGTTACATTATCATGTGCACCCCACCATCAACAGGATCACCCCCCACCCTGCCTCCCAATACCCCCCCCCCCCCCCCCCACCCATGAAGTTGTGTTGACTTTAATTGGAGGCCCCTTGATAGCAGCGCTATGAGACGAGACTTGAACCCTCCTTCTTTCCCTCCTGCATGGATGGACTGCTGGACCTGGAGCTGTTTAGAAAAGCATATCGTTCATTTGCGCCCCAGAGCGTCGAAAAGAGTCGCCAGAAAAGTCAAGCGGGTTTCATTTCACCTGGACAAAGACACCCTGAGCAGAGAGAGCAACTCATGCAGCTCTGTGTGACATATTTAATCCGTTTCCTTCACTAAGAACCAAAAAGGCGACTTCTAATTGTAGAAATGTGATTTATTCGCACAGTCAGATCTGAATCTATCATATCGTTAATGTCGATAAGGAGTAGTGTTTTAACCCGTTGCCTCCAGCAGTGACATTTCATTTGACTGAAGAGGCTTTAACAATGTGTCAGTGAACACCAAGGAGCTGAGGGAATCACGTCTTTTGTCTTCTCGTCTTGTTTTGTTGCCTTTGCATCTGATAATTAGGATATTTACTGAAAGCAAGTATACAATCATTTGTTTTATCATTTCACATCAATTTGATGTTGTTGTTTTTTTTAAGTCTGCACATACAGGATCCAAACCTATTTCACAAAATACCACTTTAAAAACAGAAAACGTCACGATATTTAGCCTGTTTATTCCAGAAATGAGCAGTTCTCATTTGAAACGTGTTTTTTTTAAATATCTCCTATTACTTAAATAAACTAGTCGTGCATGTTACACATCACATTAGATTAGTTGCTTTAAATTCATAGATGAAGATTCATTTCATTTGCGATGTCATTTTTCGTTGGGTTATTTAGAATGAGTTGCCCTTGTTTTTTTCATACACGATATTGTTCGAGAAAATTAACTCTTTAAAAGACACAATTTCATCTTATTTTCCTACATTAAACTGAGCCCTCTTTTCAAACCTGCTGACGCTGTTTGAAAATTAAATAACGACGGTAGGCTACTAACAGCCATGTTTAAAATGGGATGTAAATACAGGATGGCCCTGACTTTTGACATAAAACATAAGAAATTAAATTATCCGATGTTTTTGTTCCCCGAAAATCAAACAAAATTGCTTAACCGATATTTCGTGCAAGGCACTCTCCCAATCACTTGCATGATTTTGGTACCACAAACTGCAATTATGTAGCCTATTTGCGCATTTATTTCAAGCGGTGGGAAGATGTTGTTTTAAAACATTCAATCAATAAATAAATTAAAATCATTTCCTTTGCACCACATCTCTGTTTAACCTCGGAGAATATATTCCTTGACACTGTATTTATCAAGCAGCAGATTCGTCGCGCTTCCCTTCCGTTTTTTGTTCGAGAATCTTCTAAATCGTGTTATATTCCAAAAGAAGATCTAAAATGTTCTAACCTACCTGAGACTGTGTGAGATCCCTGTGCCGCGTGCAGGCTGAGCAGCTCCGGACTGCGCGCTCTTCACAGGAGAGACAGGAGGAGACGCTGCCGGTAGATGGGGGCTGTTCCTCGTTTCTGAGCTCACACTTGGAGTTTGAGCGTCAATTAAAACACAAGACATTTAAATATTCCTCTCCCGTATGCAGGCAGGGCTCGACACAGCACAGCGCGCGCACAATAACGCACAGAGAAATGGGAAGCCACGAGCCAATGGCCTTCTCAACATGTAGGTTACACTGTGTGATGGGAATTAATGATACATTAACTAATCTGGAGTCAGTTTTCGCCCAAAAAATCCGATTATTTACAATAATTTCTAAGTAGTATTTCAATTAAACTAGACATTTTCCCTTTTAATCTGCACGTCTTCGTTTGGATCCTTTTCAACAATGTATGATTTTATAGAAGTTAAAGAAGAGGAAACCGAAATTTTAAATCAAAGTTGTGGATGGGTTTAAGGGCGTTTATGTCTTAAAATGTATCAAAGGAAATGTCATATCACGTATCGCATTAATGCAACATGAGTTGATACTGTATGGTTTACAGTGTGAGTGAGAGCTGAGGTTTGTGTGAGAATTAATAATCAGACGTCTACAGACAAACGAGGATCAATCAGTCTGACAAAGATGTGAAAAACAACACAAAGACTGTTGAACGAAATCCAATCGAAATTAATTTCAAAATGAAAATGCCCAGTCATTTCACATTTGCATATTCTAACTCCCTTAATTACTGCAAGTCTGCAAACAGCAGTTTGGGGTTTCAATTAAACAGTACAAACATTTTAAAAAGGAAATGCTGTGTTTAAGAATAATCCAAATTGAATTTATGTAACTTCCCTGGTTTAAAAAAATAATAATCTGGTAACAATCAATAAACAGGCTACTTAGAAAATAGCAACACTATTTTAATTTTCGAATTCCCCTTGAGCTGTGCTCCTCTTCACCTTGCTCTTATGAATAGTCGACTTGACAAACTCTATATAAATTAAATTGAAATATTTAGTGTATTTAGCCACGTACCATTGTGCACACATTTGGCCCGATGTTGCAAAATCTGATGCATAAGGAAGTTTTGAAAATGGATGATTCCCCTATTTTAATAATCTGAAATGTCTGGTAAATATTGATTATGCAAACTCTATTGTGTAACTTTTTTTCCAAGTTCGGTGGTAAAACAGTAACCCTTTGCCTTATTATATAATGTTCAGTAATTGGTGTAATTTCCTGTGCATTTTTGGATTGTTTTTCAGCTGACAGGCTAAACAATAAGACAGTGGATACAATTAGGTAATATCATTGATGATAAACGATGTAAACTGTAGGGTGCTTCTGTTTGAATTTAATAATCACAGTTAACATGACAAAGAGAGGTCATCCAGAATACAACTCACTGAGGTACAGATGGACAGATTTAAATTGACAACCAGTGAATAGAACAGTGTGTGAGGGAGCACCAGGGATGAGAGCGAAAAGAGTGACTATTAATTACACCTCTGTACTGCCTGCATAAATGATAACCAGCCACACTGCTAACAGTCATTTTGCTTTGCTGCTTCCGCCTGGGCTGACATCACAATGTATCTCATCAATAATGCAACGGCACTGAGATCTATTTCACTGTGTACCACTGCGGGTACCGTGCACACAGCGTTCTGCAAGCATGATACCCAGATGCATGCTTCAGCAGTGAAACCACAGATAGAGCATCATACCGGGACGCCTGCCTGCTTTCCTGCCTGGCTCCTAGGGCATGCTGGGTAGATTACCACACATCCAGGGTTCATCTGGAGTTATCATTTCTGGGTCACCTCATGTGACACTCAGGGACTCAGTCTCTCCCACAGCAAGGCCAGAAAAGGAGCAGAGCTGGAGGAAAAAGGAGGAGGAAGAGGTGAAGGAGGAGGAAGATCCAGTGTGGTTGAGGGA